CTTTCTAGAAAACATGATTTTATTATCTTAGTTCATTTAGAACTGACAGCATAAAGCTTTCATCGCTAGAAAAACATAGTGTTATACACACTGAATGTTTTCATTTCCATCTGGAAAACATGAGGAAGGGGCAGAGAAAGAGAGTTAGAGACAACGTGACCTCATCGCATAGCAGTTCCTTTTCATATTCATTCTTCCTGTGCACATCAAAGACTTTCAAAGGCAACCAAGAAAAATATTCCTTCACAGCGCACCTGATCTGAGCAGGAAAGATTTGGATTATGATATGCAAATGGCGCTTTGTTATCTGAGCTGACATTCATTATGAAAGCAAGCTTTCTCTCGCGCTGGCTTTGTCTCTCTCTTTGCACGTCGGCCACCCCTGTGCTCTTATTTAAGATCAAAAGGTTACAAACAACAAAGCGAAGGCCTTGTTGAAAAACCTGGAGCTCTGAAGCGTTCAGCCCTATGTGTGTGTTTTGCAGGGCCGGCAGTGTTGAATGTTGAGCTGATGACCTGGCCATAAAGAAAACACCTGTGACATCAACATACTAAGCTTTGAATCCTAAATGCTGTTTCCAGATATTCAGTTGGTAGGGCTTAATGGGAGAATTTTACAAAACATGTTTGAACACAAAGTCAAAGGTAAGAAATAAGAAATATTTGTTCTTACTAAGACCACTACGATTGTTTGAGGTGTGAAATAATTTTCCAGACACCTTTACACTATGCACACTTACCTTATTTCCATAACACAAAACACATTTGTATCTTCATTATTTAAATTTACAGTATAAGTACTTCTTTAAAAGTACGTATACGTCATGGTATTATTTGTTGTATACATTTAATATATGTTGACTTACATAAAAATGATTGGTACAGTACATTTTTCATTACTGTAATATAGAAAAAAAATGTGTAATAAATCCTAACCCTAACTAGGAAAGTAACACATTACTTTTAAATTTACAACAAAATATTTGAGTTACTTTGTCAAATCAGTAGCACAGGTTACTTTGTTTTCCCATTTATTCACTGATAGCTCTCCTGTCCACGTGTTGTGAGAAATTGGGAGTGAGGTGCAGAGACAGAGGCCCTTCTTTCAGCCTGACGCTCATTCATTTCACTTTTGGTGTGAAAGGGCCTTTACAGTTGCCAAATATATCACCTTTGGGTTTTCGTTATTAAAAACAAATAAGCAAACTCAAGCCTGGTGAGAAAAAGTAACACAAAAGTACCGCAATATTGTAATGCATTACTTTTAATTATTCCATGGTCTGTCTGAATACTGGATTCTGATTGGCTGGCAGGTATGCAGTAAAACCGGTTAATGCACAGGTAGTTCCAAGTCAGTTTAATCACCATTCTATATTAATGCGCGGCTTTAATTGATGCACACTAACCAACACGCATTACTCGCACACACACAGAGAGAGAGAAAGAGAGAGAGAGATCACTGATTGCGCTGCACACACACACAAACTTGTTGTCAACGCTTCCCCGTGATTTTCATTAATAAAATAGCCTAGATACTAGATCGCTACATTATATTCCCCAGTAACAAGGTGGAAAAATCACTGTTTTTGAAGTAGGCCTAATTGTTTGTACAGAGAGACGCGCAGACACAGCACGCAGATTACAGCTGTCATCTCTCTCTGTCTCTCTGTCTCTCTCTGTCTCTCTCTCTCTCTCTCAAACGATCGATAATTAATTGAAATACATGCTATAATTCATTCAAATAAATGTGGTCTTACCACACTATTTCATCTCTGTGTATGATTTGAAGCGGGCAGAATGCTAGCACTCACGTGCCGTAACTGACAAAAATAACTGTCATTTTTACCCATTCAGTCAAATATTGTGCTGCAAAGAGCAATACAAGTTTTAACTTGTCTATAACTTGGCAAATGACCATGGAATAAGCGGGATAATCAACAGCTAGCCGTGCATTAAAGGATTTTAAATGCGCTTCGTGGAGGCAACCTCCGCTTCGCATCGGGCGGTTCTTTGCCTCCACATTGTGCATTTAAAATCCTTTAATGCATGGCTAGCTGTTGATTATCCCTTACTTACATTGCTTAAAGGGGTCATATGATGCAATTTCAATTTTTCCTTTCTCTTTGGAGTGTTACAAGCTCTTGGTGCATAAAGAAGATCTGTAAAGTTGCAAAGACTAAAGTCTCAAATCCAAAGAGATATTCTTTATAAAAGTTAAGAGTCAGCCACGCCTACCTAAAACGGCTCGTTCTAACACGCCCCCACATATCTACGTCACTATCTGGGAAGATTTGCATAACGCCGCCCAAATGTTCACACAAAGAAAGAAGGCGTAACTTTTATTCTCGATGTAGTATTGTTATTGCGGCCACCATGTCGTGAAGGCACTGTGTGTTTCTTTGTGAAAGCAAAACTACTTTGTTTGGTCTTCCAAAAGAGGACGATATCTGCTTCGTCATGCCTGGAGCTGATCGTGCTGGTTGCTGAGGAAATACTACAACTTTGCGCTGTGGATCGCCGAATCGGCTTTCTCCGTGGACGAAGCGGAGTCCAGCCCGGAGTCGTCACATGTCCTTCCGGACGCTCCTTCGTCAAAATCGCCAGCCGCACCGTTCTCAAGCCCACCCGCCTCTGTTTACTCTAACCCTCCGGCCGTTCCTCAATTTATCCCCCGGCCTCTGCTCACTCTAGGCCGTCGTGTGGGACGCTGTGTGTTTCTTTGTGAAAGTGAAACTACTTTGTTTGGCCTTCCAAAAGAGGACACGACTAGAAATCAGTGGTTAAGTTGTATTTACAACACTGTTCAAGGACCCTTCAACCCAAATATTCAGAGAAATCACTCAAAAATATTATTTCTATATGTATAGGCTATACTGTATATATATAATAATTCTTTCATAATTTATTCATCATAATATATAATGAAATATTTAAAGACTGTTGATAACCAAACAATTTTGGGTACTATACTTTCATTGTATAGAAAATAAAAAGTAAAATTTAAAAACACTTTTTTTTATGTTCCACAGAATGTCATACAGGATCATACTGAATTTTCGGTTACACTTTACTTGAAGGGGTGTGCATAAGACTGACATGACACCTTCATAATCATGACATGGCACCTACATAATCAAGACATGACACATGTCATGAATATGAAGGTTTTTTATGCATGTTTATGACAACTGTCATTAAGTGTCATTCGCTCAGTTATGTAATTTTTAATGCAAAGATGACATTGTTTGAGATGTATTTGTTATGGGCTATGGTTAGGGGTAAGGGTAGGGGTAGGGTTAGGTTAGGGTAAGGTCAAATAATGTCATATTTGCATTAAAAATTACATAACTGAGCGAATGACACTTAATGACAGTTGTCATAAACATGCATAAAACCTCCTTCATATTCATGACATGTGTCATGTCATGATTATGAAGGTGTCATGTCAGTCTTATGCACACCCCTTCAAGTAAAGTGTTACCGAATTTTCCCTTTAAGTGTCATGAAAATACTGTCACACTATGGCAAACATATCTTAATGGCCCAAAAAAATGAGGCCTTATATAACAATAAAGAAAATATATTTTTGAATGTTTAGTGTCATTGTGATATGACTCTGACCTGGACTTTTCTTCAATATTTCACATGAAAAGAGGGCTTTTCTGTGTCCTCTATACACATAAAAAGGTGATTGAGATGAAAGCAGGTAAAGAGAGGTGGCTTTCTACTTCTGAGTTATTAGTTCACAAAGCCAATTGTGCTGTGTGACTGAGGTGTGCAGTTTAATAACTTCATAAAAAAGCTGCTATTAGGACGAGAGGAAGGCAATCAGTAGTTCCTCCTTTCGGCGCAGCAGCAAGGAGTCGGCTTTGATCTCCATCACGGCTAAATGTCTTCTGTGAGACAGAGAGCTGCTGGGAACAGGACCACATCAATTATTAATTCTCTTTCTCTCCTTCCATGCGAGCAAATGACAGCAGGTTTGTTTGCTCTCTCAGTTTTTTCTCTTGTCTGATCCTTAATGAAAATGAAATCTATTGAAACTATAGCAGAGTATACATTTCACATGATAGTGGAAGACATTCATTTGAATTCATTACAAGATTTTATATATAGGCTATATATATATGTATATACAGGTGCATCTCAATAAATTAGAATGTCGAGATACACCTGTATCTCAATAAATATATTGATTTGTATATATATATTTGTATATATATATATATGTATATACATATGTATGTATATATGTATTTTACAAACGAAAATTGTGAATTGTATGCAGTAAGTTCTCATCTGTAGACTGAAGATTGACTACATCTAAATGATTTACATTTACACATTTACATTAACTCTTTTGATTGTTAGGTTACATTTTCAAGAATTTTATATCCTCATCAAAAACACTGCACTGTGTCATATTATCAGTGACCGCTAGATGGAGCTACTTTATTTCAAACCGCAGTCATGATCACTGACAGCCTGAGAACGTTTGCTCAAATCTAAAAATCCCTCCTTGTCAGAAGCAAACTGATGGATACACGAACAACTTACCTCATCTTTATCTCATCATATTTTTGGCATAATAAAGCCTATATGTTGTGATGCGTTCAGCATGTTTTAATAAAATATCTTAAATATGTCGCGGGCACAAGTATTCAGTCCCTGTGCTGCAGACATTTGTTTAGAAACTATAAAATGTGGTTCAGTTAGTGATAAGGCTAAATCTAACCATCCCTACGCTGCTTAGAAACATTTCAATTGTCTTGCCTAAATAAGTTTAAATGGCGATGCTGTGAGTTAAAGACGACTATTTATTTACAGAATAGAATACACAATTAACCCAGCAGAGGGCGCTTCTGTCCTGCAGGTTCGTCCAGTTCACCAAAACAAACACACGCCCTCGCAGCAGACATTTTAATCCAGCACAGAGCGTGTGAACGTAGACGTGTATCACCATCTGTCTCGGATCAGGGTTTGATTGCTGCAGTCTGACGAGTCCGTATGGGTTATTTTCGCTCTGCTTCCCCGATGTGCTGCTGTCACTAGATTATAAACACAGACATGATCACATCTACGGACGAGATCGATTGTGGACGCACATGTGACAATATAACGTGCTGGATGAGATTCTTTGTGTAGTTTCGGCAAGATAAAGATGTGTAATGGTAAGCTCGAGCTCACGCCCATTATCATGTCTGTGTGTCGTTGCTATTTAAGCGCATCCCTGTCTCGAGACAGGAGAGTATCATAGCAACCGCAAATCTTCTGTGTCGGTGATGTCCGGTGTGTTTCATCGTCTGTGGATGCTTTATAATCTGTGGTAAACCGCGATGCTCTGTCATGTGATTGAGCTGCTGCCGATACTTGACTGTCAGCTGTTAGATGAGTTACAAAGAGTAGGGTGATGGCACAGAAGGTAATACATGGTATTGGATGATTACCATATTCATATATTACATGCCAGTTAAAGATACTATGAAAAACAGTAACTTAGGTACCTTGCAGTTACCTTGTAACGTGCAGAAACGTGGAATTATTAGCATGTTACTTGTCCAGAATGTTTTATCATCATGGTACCATATCCAAAGCCACGACAGTACTTTTTTTTTGTGATTTCGTTTAGATCCATTATTTTTTTAATAATGCCGTTTTCATAAAAAAATCATATTCCGGATTTCAGACGATCAAATTCAGATTATGGACTGATCCATACGGTAACCATAGTTGCATAAAAAAAATAATATTCTGGATTTCAGACGATCAGATTCAGATTATGGACTGATCCATACGGTAACCATAGTTGCATAAAAAATCATATTCTGGATTTCAGACGATCAGATTCAGATTATGGACTGATCCATACGGTAACCATAGTTGCATTAAAAAATCATATTCTGGATTTCAGACGATCAGGTTCAGATTATGGACTGATCCATACGGTAACCATAGTTGCATAAAAAATCATATTCTGGATTTCAGACGATCAGATTCAGATTATGGACTGATCCATACAGTAACCAAAAGTGCATAAAAAAGAAAAATC